AAGATTTAAAGTTGTGTTTTGGTCAAATGATGACGAAATACAAGTTGGTATGGTTATAAAGTATTTAGAGAGTTATGAAGAAATAGATGGATTTATGATATAAAGTGATGAGATGAATGTTACTGTCAATGGGATGAGTGACATTATATAGAATTTTAGAAAGGTCAAAGGAAAATTGCATAATTGAATGAGAGAAAACACGACAATGGATTGGTATTACTGGTTATTGTTTATATGATAAGTAACAGAAGATGAATGTATAAATGAAAAAGATAGTTGGAAAACTAAAGGATTGAAAGTAAGTTTCTGATGATAACAAGAAAAAATAAGTCAGGGAAGCAGCATGAGAACGTTAGAAGATATGTTCTTCTCAGGATTTGCAGTGAAAATTCGAGGACGAATTTTTTTAAAAGGAGGGGAGATTTGTAACATCCCAAATTATGGGTTAGTGACCAAATTGTAAAGTTTCATAATTTGATAACTAAAATAGAAGAATGAAATAGTTCTATTATTATTGGATACATATGATGAAGGTTATTTTGTAATTGTTAAAGGAAATAAAGGGTAAAATGGTCATTTGATCATTTAAGGAATTATACACGTGGGAAATGGGAGAAACATCCAGAGTTCTCTTCTCCTTTCTTCTTCTTCATGCGTGGGAGAGCAAGGCAAAGGTGAGAGTTTTATTAGTTGATTATTATTTGAATTTTAAGCTTGGTTTTGATCTTTAGTTGATGGATAAACATAAGGAAAGCTTGGGTTACAGTAAAAATCAAAGAATGGAGGGGTTAAGAGAGATTAAAGATTTGGAGTTTTTATATGAAACTTTGGAAAAGAATTGATAAGTAGAATTTGAAGTTAAATTTGACTTGTCAATGGTTAAATTAAGAGATTTGGAGTGATAGAATTTGATTTTGAACATATAGAAAATTTGATATGATTCTTGAATTACATATGGAAGATAGGATTTTGAGGTTTAAGATGAAATAAATGAATATAGATTGGTTTAAGTATGTGTACTAGAGTTAAGAATGAAAAGGAGATGATATATGAAGTGTTGGGCTGAAAATGAAGTGATTTTCGAGCTAAAAATATGATTTCTGGGCAAGGGGAATCGGTACCCATTCAAGGGGAACCGATACCCCTTCAAACGACACAATTCCAGAATGTCTTGAGGGAATCGATACCCCCATAGTAGGGAACCGATTCCCCCTAAAGGAAAATCTGAATATTGGTTTAATAAGTTCGTTTAAGTTGCTAGTATCCAATTACAAGGTGTAGGTATCTAATGATTGCCTCAAAATGTACATGTATGTAGATTCTACGCATAAAGCAATTCCGGAACGTTTGGCAAGTAAGATCGATCAAGGAAAGATAACATATCGATATTGACTAGTGAGGCCATGTGAGTGCGTACTATTAGAATATACGTATTATGTATGGAAATTTGACTTGCGACAAGTCTGTTTCCAATATGTTGAATATATGATTGTATGATTATGTTTATATTACATGAATATGTTTAGTTGTATCACATGTTAGGTGGTATGAATTTATATGATATGTGTTATATGGCAATGATTTATGTATTATAGGAATTAGATGAGTTATATGAACCTGAGATATAAATTATAGGAGCATGAATTATGTAAAATAGCAATGATTTATATGATAACAAGAGAAAGGATATAAATTACATGAGTTAGATATATATATATAGGAATTGTATAACCAACTTATGAGATTAGATGAAAAATGAGATAAGTTAAATAACATTGATTTATAGGGCAATATAAGAATGATATATAAATGAGGAGACATTGACAGAAGTGATTATATGAACATGTAAATAAGTTATATGGAGTGGATATATGAGCGGAAATGAACATATAATACATGAGTCATATGGTAAAGATTTATGAATCTATAGGAAAATGTTATGGGAACTATGTGATGATAAGTTATGAGAAAATATTTATATAGGTAACAAGCTATGTGATATACTTGGTGTATGAGAATCATATGAGAATAAGAGATGACAATGAGTTACATGCCAGATGAACACAAGAGAAGTGTTATAAGCTACGTGACAGATGATTATGAAATCATACGAAAAGTGAAATGTACATGTGAATATGTGAAGTGATATGAATATAATGCTCATGTTATATGATACGAGAGCTATAGGTATAGTTGGCATGCCAAGAGTCGAGGGTTTACCTATGTCTTTCGAGACATATGGACAGTTTACCTAGGTTCTTCGGGACCTATGGACAGTTTACCGAGGATCTTTATGACCTCTGGACAGTTACCGAGGATCTTTATGACCTCTGGACAGTTACCGAGGATCTTTATGACCTCTGGATAGTTACCGGGGTCTTTGTGACCTCTGGATAGGTCCTTCTGGACATTTATATGAGCTGTGGTGACAGCATAGTGGTGCACAACCTCAATAGACTCACATATCTACATTTCTCACAAGTGCACATGGGCTAATAAGAGATAACATGGAATGTAATGTATAAGATATATGTGATGTATATACTTATGGTGATATGTCATGTGTTGCTTGAATTATAATGATGTTGATAAAGATAATAATATACATGGGCAATGCAATTGGAAGACAAACAAGAAAGTGTATGAATTATTATATATATTGTTATCATGCAATAGATACATGCATATTGAAATGTCATGATTCAATGGTATGAATGCACGTTCATGAATTTATTGTTATATGTTTAATTATTGCCTCACTAAGTCAACGACTTAGCGTGTGATTGTTTCACACGTAGGTTTCGAGAAGAATAAAGAGTAATGCGGAGCAAGACAGGTCAGTTCTCCTTACCAAATGTCAGATCAGAAAATGTATGTACTGTTTACAGAGTGTAGTTGGCATGTAGTCTAAAGATATAAATGGTATGAACTCTGATATCTGTTGTAAACGTTTTGAAATAATTTAAATGTTATCAAAGTTTTTAAATTACTCACTATTTTATACGAATAAATGTTTGAAAAGTCAATGTGACACTTCGGACTCGTATCCGGGTCGGATACGGGTTGGGGGTGTTACATAACGTTTAGTTTTTGTTTCGTTTAGTACCTCGCCGTTAAAAACATAACGGGTGATAGGCACGTGACACCTTTTTTATGGATAAATTGTATCATTCATCACTCAACTATCTTCTCACTCCTATTTTGGTCATTAAAGTTTAATTTTTTTAATTTAATTACTTAACTTTCAAATTACTCCTAATTTAATCACTCTAACTTTCAAATTTTTTTATTTTTAATTATATATTAATAAAATAATAATAGGAGTGAGAAGATTAAAATAGGAGCAATTTGAAAGTTGAGTAGTTAAATTGAATTTTTTTAAATTTTAACACCAAAATAGGAGTGAGAAGATAGTTAAGTGATGAATGATGTAATTTACCCATAAAATTGCAGTACAATTAAGTTTTTAATGGTTGGATACTAAAATGAAACAATAACTAAATATTAAGTGTGATTTTGCAAAAAATTAAATGTTTAGGTACTAAAAAGACCAACATTGATAGTTGCGTAATTTATTACAAACAAAATAAGGAAACGGAACGGTTTTGGTCTAGCGTTTTGGACTGTATAAGCAAGGAACTTATTAAATCTATTACAAATTTCTAGCATTTTAGGACATTTAGTTTAGTAGTATGATTCTTACTTAAGTGTGAGAGTTCCTGAGTTCAATTATCGGAATGCCCCTTTGGGTTTTTTTATTATTATATTTTTGTGTCTAATAGTTATTCTAGAAGGCTTTTGATGCTTCTCTTTGGCAAGTTCCTTTTTTTGGTTGATACTAGGGTTATTTAATGAGGTGAGTTGTTCGAATCCGATATGGTTAAAACTCGATTAAAGCAAAGACCAACTCGACTCGATAAGTTCGCGAGCAATTCGATAATTTTTTAATAGTTTGATAATTACAAGCAATAATGAATAGAGTGAAGAGATGTTAATTTCCTTATTTTTAGTACTGATTATGTACTGTTTAACATATTTTTCTTCTCAAGAATGTTTTTAATATGTTAATTTGATTTATTTGTGAATTGTTACATAAATTTTAATATGTTAGTTGGTGCATTTGTGGATTGTTATTTTGAAGTTTAGACTTTGAAATTACTTCATACACTCTTTGATAATTTTTTTAGTTAAATTTGTTAATTTATGTTTATATTAAACTTTAAATTTGTATATTTTACCTATATTTGAAAAACAAGGTAAAATTTTTAGTGAGTTTAACGAGCAACGAGCTTAATGAGCAACAAGTCGAGCAATGAGCTTAACGAGAAACAAGTCTAGTTGAACAAGAAGTTTTTGTAACAAGCACAAGTCGAACAACAAATTTTTCTAACAAGAACAAATCGAACACTATCCAACTTGCAATCACCTCGCACGATAAGCCTCCTAGTTGATTCAGTGGGTAGTTGCATGCGAACATAAAACTGGTTTTTCAAGTGATATAAATACTCAAAGAACAATACGGTGGTATTATATCACATGGCTGATCAGCAGCAATTGGCAAAACCTAATAGAACATACACAAGTCGCACTTTCCTTCCACACTAACATGATCACTTGTATTTGAGTTTGGCTCAAAATTTTGTTTCCATGAGAAACTAGAAGATATATTCAGTAATAGGGTAGGTTCATCATACCTCTGTTTGAATTCTTATTTTGTAACATCTTGTTTCCATGAGAAACCAGAAGATATAATAATCTTATTCCAAATAAGTACTTCGATTAACATTTGACATTAAAGACAAGACCCAGAAATACAACATTAAAAAGCAATATCGATTCTTATCAAAGGAAAAACCCGTCCTCGCGCTGTTTGCCGGCAAAGATGAGGCTTTGTTGGTCGGGAGGGATCAGGGGTTGAAAAGTAATCTAACATTCCCTTATTTGTTTTCTGCAAATTTGTTAACCAATGTCTGATTTTGTTGGGGGCAAATGTCTATATATATATATACAAGAATGGTAAACCATAATATAAGTCATTATTTCTCCTTATCCTCGGCCATAGCCGCGCCTTTGCAGATCGGACATGTATTCTTCATTGACAACCACTTCTTGATACAGGGAACATGGTAATCATGTCCACACGTCTTTAACGCCCCAACTTCATCCAAGTCCTTGTATTCCTCCTGTGAATTACAAAGCTTTGTCAGATATTCGAACTTCCCATTCGAGTTTTATAAAATCAAAGCACAGACTGTAAGTTGCCGAGTGGTGGCCGGTTCCACATGATCTGAGTTATTTATGTTTCAAACATGATAAAAGTTCTTACCAGGCAGATCACACAAGAGCTCTCATCCTGGATTTGATCTGAACAGTAAATTGTTTCCGTCAAGCACTTGGATATCGAGTCGTCGGACAAACCTGTGTTAACACTCCCAATCCTTTCCCCTAATGCAAGTAGTTCCTAATCAAGCGTATCAAACAGGGTCATTTAGAGCAAAACACAAATAAGAATGAAATAACACCTTAATAGAGAAGGGAAATATGTACATACCTCGTAAGACATGTTGTCTATGTCTAGCCTCATATATCTATGTTGGTCGAACATATTTCTAGATCCGGAAAAGGCTGGGTGGTCCGCAATCATAAAACCCTGCAGAATGATAAACAAATTACAACATTCAGCTAATGACTCGTTAAATCAGGAAAGTTACTTGGCAAGCTGATGATCAAATAGAATTTTTCCCGTCTCTCACGGGAAACACTTGATCTGAAAATTTGGCTAGATTAGAAGTCGGCCTGGTCAACAGAACAGGCCGCTATCAATCAACAAAGGACACTTATGATGCAATCAAAGCAAAAAAATAAAAATAAAAATTGCAACACCGTGAAAGAGTCCAGAACTCATTTACTTCACAAGCACTAAATACCTCAGATGAGAATCGTTCATGGAAAGCCGCATCATCAGCAGGAGGTCGATATCTGTCATTAAATACCCTCGACCTTCCAATCCTGTCATTATTACGCCATGTTATAGCTGATAATGGTCGAGGATGTCTGGAGGAATAACTTCCAGCAACAATTTGAATCCCCTCATCTGGGGGTCCCGCATGTCCTAATTGCACACTGCTGGAAGAAGCCCTAAAAGCTGGGGTAGATCTATGAGAATAGTTTGTGCGAATACCCCTTACAGATTGTGTTGAGCTGCCATGGAAACTCTGAGGAAGAATGGGATTTCTACCCGAAATGAAATCATGCTGAAGCCCCTCAACCTCTACAGAAGAATTCATAGCACTGCTACCACCGAGAAAGTGGTTTGTCTCATGATTAAAAACACCTGGATCTGCAACTCACCGATAACAGACTAAGAAGTGATGGGGAACTTAAAACATAACTGAGAAATATTTGACCAACTTACCCGAAGCTTGAATACTTCCATGAATAGGAGACATTCTCAAATGGCCCCATTCCCATTCCCTTGACAAAGCATTAGAGCTTTGACCAGCGAGATCCACTGAGCTAGAGCGGTCAACTGGTTGGCTAGTAGAATAGTTAGTGTAAGAAGGATTGCTTGATAAATGGTTCCTAACTTGGTTGGATTCAAGATTAAGTGCTGGACGGCTTCTCACATTCCTCATAGAACCTTCACCCCTAATTGAAAGGCTATTGCCTCTATAACTCGGGAGCATGGCAACATGATCCAAGTGCATTTGCTGAGGATCTTCATTAGGTTTTTCTTGCCATAAGTCGGATGATAGAGGAAGATCAGATGAACTTCCAGCTCCAACATATCTGCTTGAACTGCCCCTTTCACAGAATGACGGGACTCCAGGGCTTTTGCGCTTGTGAGGCCCTCTACCACCACCCATTGTTAGATCAACAAAACCACCCTCAATTCCATGGAGAGAATGCCTATCATAATTGGAAGAAAAAGCATGACGCATATAGTTATCAGGGGTTGCACCAAATGCTCCGGGGGCTGATGGATGCAGAATAAGATCATGGGATGGGCCTGAAGCATCAGATTGCGGAGCTTCAACATGGTGGCTTGACGTAGCATAACCACTGGACCTAGGGACAGGATTCCAATGAGGAGAAACATGCACTGCATCGACAGACATATTTTCCACAGGACAGAAGGAGCCATGTTCTGTAGTACTTGCCCTCACTGCCAAGCAAAACAAAAAGGAATCAATAGCCATTAGAACAAAAGCTAGTGTACAAATAAGGATCAGTTACAACACAAAAGACAACATAACTCAAAAGCCAAAATCTAGGCCCAACTTTCAAGATATGAGAGATATGACAAGTCCAACCTCAACCTGCCTAGCAAACAAGTTTCATCATAGTGTAAATAATTATCTATTTTTCATCAGCATCAAATGTATCCTCTTAAAAATAAAAGGCAAAAGTTAATGCATTAAAATAACGATACCAAGATTTGCATAAGGTTGGTCCGAATGCATATGATTCCAGCCCTGCTCATTTTCACCCTCAAACATTTGGGAGGTGTCAATTATGTGTCTATGCCCCATAACCAAATCCCTTCCAAGTTATATTCTAGAAGAAAAGTCAACCTACAAAAAAAGAAAAATCAAAGATAAAAAGAAATGAAGTAAAATTAACTAATATCTAATAATCCAAAAAAAAGGGATGCACTTAGTATTTGCATGTCATTTAATCAACATATTGCATTTACAAGATTCATTTCTTATAAAGAATTTCCAGAGCTCTGAAGAAATCTAAATTTCTGTCAACAAATACAATAATACTTGGGATATATTTGTCTGCAGAAAAATGCAAACAAAAGCAACTCCAAGAATCACATCTTCTAGTTGGCACCAGCAGAAATATATTGAGTATTAAGGCACCTTTGTTTTTTTGTAACACCAAGTGCTTGTTCTTTTAAAAGAAATGACTATTCGAACACATTATAAAAAATTTAGAAAGACATGAGGTTACAAGCAGCGATAACAATAGAACTATAGGCATAAGCTCTCTATATATTGCAGTGCAGACGCACCAGCAGACAAAGTCAGCCATAAACATACATGCACATGCTCAAATTGGTATGTAAAAAGGACATCTCAAGTAGAATTTTAACAACTACAATAGCTTTTGGCTTTGACCCACTTAATCAAAACTGTGCATTAATAGGTCAACGGAATCACGTATGGACTGGTTCCTAGGAATAGGAAAAATGGATGCTGGTGCAAAAGCCCTCATCACTTAGAGCGATTTTCACAGTAGGCTCTCACAAATAGGAAGTCAACAACCCTAAATACCCAGTTTCCCAACTATGGTCTTCTTAAAAACTGGCATGCTAGCCATAGTCCCACCTCTTCCTTTTATCAGCTCCTTATATATTGCCTCTCTCCATAAAATTAGAGAGAGCATCCTCCATATTCTGGGGCAAGAAACAAAGAGGGAAAAAGTGAAGGCAAAATAAGGAACACTGGAGTAGCAATTAAATAGAGACTTTAAATTGGATGTCAATACTAACCCTTTAAGCCCAACACAAAGTACCTTAGGTTCAGACGTGAAGGTGAAGCACTAGTAGAAGCAGGATTACTCATCAGGAAATCACCTGGAACTGATTTATAGAGCTAATAGCAGATGGAAGGAATGAAAATGGTCATCACTTAACCAAATAGGGCTGGACAGTTCATAGCCAAAGCAACAGCAGAAGAAAAATGCCTTTCACTCCAATTATGAAATTAATAGAAATAATTTTAAGAAGAAAATATTATCCTTTTTTAGTTCAACAAAAGAAAAAATATTAATAAAGGAAATAAACTCTCCTTGATATTGAGCTTCCACTTTTTAAGGGAGGAACAGAACCTATCTACGTTGAAGATAAGTTAGAAGAAAACAAATGCATAGAGATTGAACCCTGTCCAAACAAATGAAGATTTTAACTTAAAAATAAGCAGTAAACTTTTAAGGAAAAAGTTTAAAACATGGAGCAGTAATAAGTATAAAAAGAAAGCATCCTTGGAGATTTGAGGAAAAATAGAAGAGAAGCTACAATTTTGTAAATATTCACCAACATAAGGAATAACAATCAAAATTCATGTGGGTGTATCAATTGTTTCTTAAGCAAGCACATATAGTCTGCTGCAATTACCTATTTTTATCCTAAAAAAATCATTTAAAGAATAGCTTTATAAAAAGAAATTAAATGTATCATCTAAGACCAAACGTTATATATTTTTTCTTAAAAAAGGAAAATAACAAAAGAGGAAATAGTAAGAAATCAGGTATATCTACAAAATAATTGTAGAGGAGACGGCTACCATTCCTGATGTAAGATCCCATCTACCAAAAGCATAGATGGCTTCAATATCAAGGTTTTGATTGATTCCTACAATACCTTTTTTACCATGTAAAAAATTTGACGTAGAGATGTTGATACAAGATTATATCTCATAGGAACATTATTGTGCCTCACACCGGATTTCTGACAACTTCCAAGGTCAAAGGATTAGGTGAGCACGGATAAAAAATATATATTACGTATTTCTATTAGAATGCAAGCCTCAATTTTCCTAAGTTCAGTGACATACAAAAAGTTTCCCATCAGTTTAAGGACATGTTTTCCAATTGTTGAATGATTCACCATGAAGCTTTAAGAAAAACAAATCAAGATGATGATTTTAACCTCACAATATGGAAGCTTAAGAAACATGTAAATAAAAGAGATGGTAACAGTAAGAGGAAAGCCTAACATACAACCAGGAAAAGTCCCACAAACCCAACTCCATTTATTTGATGTCGAGTTACAGGAAAACCATATCAGCCACATGAGTGGTTCAAGCAGAACTTAATAATAATTCAGCTCCTTGTCAACAGTTCACAGCCATGCATCTTGACAGCAACAACGGTCAAGTGTTGACCTAATTAAATCATTGCATCCAAGTACATATTGACCCTCCACCTCAATAAAATTTGAAAACCTGAAGCTATAAGGCTATTATATAATCACCAAAATCCCAGTCTTGTTTGCATAGTCATACCTCCTCCCAGGAATATAGAGCATGATCTCAGCGCCTAGATATTTTTAAGCACATATTTCTACTACATCGACCATATACAAGAAATGTCAATCCCAACTACATGACTATGGTCATCATCCAAGCATCCAATTTTACACCATAAGAGGCCATATGACATTAATTAGCACCACCAAATAAGGCTCCACAAAAAACTACATTTCCAGGATTGCCAAGAAGAGAACACAAAGCTCAATGTTTTCAGCTAATCCATCATCATGCCCTACACTTTAAATCAATCTTTCAGAAAAAACTGTAGACTGGGTGACTGCCAAAACTGTAACAGCCATGAAGATGCCCTGGATTTCTTAGGGATTCTTACAAAGATGACCCTGGGGTTCTTAGGAATTTTTACGGAGATGCCCCTGGGGTTCTTAGGTATTCTTAGGTCATTACATCTTCTTAGAACTGCAAACTACGATAGAAGAAGATATTATTCACAATTCCTCAACCTCAACCCCACTCCCTAAACCTCCTTTGGCACTCTACACCAAGCACTAGCAAGCTAACACATAACACCAAATATGAAGGACTTAAGATCATAGCATCACTATCACCATTAGGTTTTAGTTTTCTTTTAATCATTTTTTATGAAATCTCCAGTCAAGGGAGAATAAGGAACTTTATGTAAAGTGGATATTCAACGAGGTCAAAGAGTTCTGCTAATTAGAGTGGCAGCTCTAATACCATTTACTTGCTCTTTGTATGAAGGCCAACTTATAACACTACGTGAGTGCTCATGATTTTAATAAGACATAGAAATCTTTCCTTCAGTTTCCGATCAACAAAGCTCCCCTGCAACAACATTTGAGATAAGAAAATAGAAAGCAGAAATGGCACAACTAAATGATTTACCAGCTATAGTAACCTATTTATGGTTCATTTAAAGGGATGCTTAAATATATGTCAAAACCTTTTGCAGCTAAGCCAACACATTGATAAAAGCCTGGAGAATTAAGAAGGGAAATATAACTGAAGATGATGGTGCTGCATTCTGCAAGACATGATGAAGAAGAAGATAATAGAAAGAGGAATTAATAATTACTGACAGATATTGACACATTTCACCCAGAAGCAGACGGCTAGAACAAGTCTCAATGTATAACTTCTAATTAACTACTTCCAAAAAGCATTCTTCGAGAAAGGGGATAATAGGAAACCTCGTACCTTCAGATATAGATGGGTTACTGTTCAAAAACTGGCATACTAGTTAGTGTTAATGCTCAAGGTCAAACTCAGGATGTGGGGCAAGAATGAAACACCAAGTCCCTAACCTGCATAAATAAAAAGATCTAAGCCTAGTTGTTGCTATTGCGATCAAGAAACTCAAACACCCTAGCTATTAAAGCATCTTGTCTAAGAAGCAGTTACTAGGCATGCTAGAAACTTTAAGTAATTAAAATATGAACTGGCATCTGAACCTCAAATAAAAAAAATGAAAGTCAATTTACAGCATCCCAAGGGAGCACATTATGATAATCATTTTCCATTTTTCCATTTCCTTCAGAAATTAATTCTTTAAACAAACACTGACAACAACAACAAGACTCGGGAAATAATACGCCACAATGCCCATTTTGTTCCCTTATCTGTTGGAATGAACTCAATGCAGGACGTAATATATATATATATATACTAAGTAACTATTTCATATGTCACAGAATTCCCGTTGAAAAACAAGAATATTTGAGCTCGTATCAGTTTTAAAACCTTTTAATCGCGATTCACAGAACAATCTCTAGAAGAAATCAATCAATTATATGGAAACATAACATTGAATTAAACAGAGCTCAAATATCTAACATCAACAAACCCTCTTGGTTTTAGCTACAAGCCTACAACGACCGCATCAAGATAAAAAATTGCTGGTCATATCTTAAGTCAAGTCAATGGGATTATCAACAACGAAATATCTTATGCTGATGATCATCGTGTCCATGATCGCAACTAAGAAACCAATTTTAACTGGATTTAAAAAAAAAACATCTCTAGCAAATACAGATTTTAACAGAGAATCTAAGCATGATTAACACCAGCACAACCTGAAACCATTATAGATTATCAAATATCAAGCACAATCAAGATCAAACATTAAAGTAACCAAAATAACTCAGATAAACATATTTCTTTCATGATTAAAGTGGGTTAAAAAAGAATTAACTAACAAAAATTATCAACCAAAATAAAAAAAAATTAAACAAAGAAAAAATAGAAGAGAGGTAAAGGAAATCGTACCTCGATACGGATGAAAATCTGCGAGAAAATTATTAGAAATATATTTTAAAATTAGAAGGAAAACAAAAAACAATGGTGAAAGATTATTTTGGGAGAAGGAAGAAAAGCAAATGAAATAAAGCGGTTGGGTGCGCTTGCTTGGCTTGCGCATAAATATAAGAGGAGAAAATTACCAGCATAAATAAATAAATAAATAGATTATTTTATTAAATTAATTAAACAATAATGATCCTTGTTAAGGGTGCTTATCACAGGCCTGACGGTGAGCTGAACGCGTGACTTTTATTTATTAGGCGGAATCTTGATTTTTTCCTTTTAATTTAGTTAAAAAATCTAATTAAAAAACTTTTAAATTAGAGTAAAATATAACTTTTTTACTAAATCATTTTAAAATAATTTGTATCATTAAAATTTTAAATTTATATTAATGATTAAACTTATGGAAATATTACAAAATGATTATGGTATGTATAAAATATTAAAATTATTGATAAATATTAAAATTATTTTATAGTAATTTAACCAATTTTATGAGAACTTTATGATAATATAATAAAATATAATGATTATTTTATAATTATTTAAAATATTATATAATTGTTTAAATTCTAATGATAAAATTTTAATGATTATTTTATAATTATATAAAATATTAAAATTTAATGATTATTTATGTATTTTATTATTTTATTTATTGATGGACTAATAATACAAAGGTTTTTTTTACACCTAGAAAATGTGAAATAATGGAGAGTCAGGTGTGCGGCCTTGGCGGAGTTTGGGCTGTGGCCTCAACGAAATGGGTAGGGATGACAGTATGACCCGAATTCGACGGGGAAACCTGAAATTCGGTCAAGTTCGAGTCGAGTCGAGTTGAATGATATCGGGTCTGATCGGGTATCGAAGATTTTTTTCGGAGATTTTTTCGGGTCAGGTTCGGGGTAAGGTATCCCCGCCCCTATTATATATATATATATATATATATATATATATATTTTTTTATATTAATTATAGATATAATATTTTATATTTTTATATTAATTATATATAAAATATTTTCAGGTTCGGGTATATATTTCGGGTCGGGTTCGGGGACGGGATAAAAAAAATTTCCGACAGGGCGCCCCAATAAAAAACCCGTCGGGAATCGAGTCGGGGTCGGGGATTCATTTAGTGTTCGGGGACGGGGCGAGCAAAACCCGCCCGGACCTGACCCGTTTCCATTCCTAGAAATGGGAGGACACTTGCTTCGTGACTTGTGACTGACGGCTTCGTGTCTATCGGTAGGGTTTAAATTTGAGAATAATATTAAAAAGGGTAAATTGCACGAATGGTTACTAATATTTTGAGTAAATTTTTTTCCTATCAAAGTTTTAAAAGTAAAAACTTAGTCATTAATATTATCAATTTGTAATAAAATAGCCACTTCATCGTCATCCGTTAAATTGATGACATGGAAATACTAGCAAAAAGTTAATATTTAGTTTATCCTAAATTATTGCTAAGACATCAAATGAGTCCTTAAATAATGATTTTATATCTAATTTACTCAAATAGCTTTCTAATTTTTGATTTTTTCAAATATCTTATCATCACTTTGAGTGATATGACATATATCACGTCACCATTTTAAATGACGTGACACATGTCATATAAAATATTAAACAAATATAAAAATGTCACGTCAGTAAAATGTGTTAAAATTAATCAACTAATAATTTCTATCCAACAGAGTCTGTTTTGACAAAAAAATTAAAACATTGTGAGCTAAAATATTAAAAGATGCAAATTTGGGGGTAATTTGTCATTATGCCATTTAAGTAATGGGTGATAGCCGGAGAGTGTTGGAGCCTTGGAGAAACTGAGATTAAAGGTTGAAGGCTGTATCAAGAAGGAAAGATGAGTTCATGAATGGTTAAGGGGTTATGAATTGTCTTTTACAAAAATATGAATGACGAAAGTAAAAGTTTCTGTTGTTTGATGATCCAAACAGAAACGTGTTAATACTTAGGTGACTAATATTGGAATTCAACGTTTTCTCTAGGTATCAAAGCGAGGGCTAAATGATTATTTAACCCAAATGTGAAAACATGTTGACAACGAGGTTTATTATTATGTTCGTGATTTTGAAATCGTTTATTCTTGGGTAAACTATATGTTATGTTTTTGTTTAATTGATTTTGGTAGCAAGTTAAAAAAAGAGTGATTTTAGTTTCTTACGCTATCAATCTATTCGATTTTAGTCTATCAGCCGTTAACTCTCTTTAACCCCTTAATGGAAATGTTGGGTAACAATTAAAAAATTAAGGAAAAAATCTATGTATTGCGTATCTTCTTCTTCTTCCTCACCATAAATGTAACTCTTGTATCCACCACTTCCACGTTGGACCATTACAACGGGCCATAAGCTCTACCGAACAGACCTTTATTGCTCCGACCACAGCCAAACACAAATTTTTCCACCTCACCATTAGTATAGGACTCGTCGCCATAGGTAACTACATAATTACTGGGGATTATAGCATCAGAAACATCTTGTTCTTTGGCAGATGCCTTGTTTTTTTATTTGGGCTTGCAATGACTGAAGTCTTAGCTCATCCAAAATCAATTAGTCTTTGAAGCAACTTGTTTCATTCTCCGTCCCTTTCTCCATAACAATAATCTCGATGCTTCATTTCTAATATAGTTACACCTTTCTCCTTCCCTAAACATCCAAAATCAAAGGTGTAAGCTATATATAATAATGCAAGAAAGAAAGGCATGTATATAAGTATATGTTTGTATGAGTTGGATGGTATAGAATCATATCTATTGACCAAAAGCAGTAAAGCCAATTAGTCACGCTAAACTGAAAGTTTGAGATATTTATTATACAATAAAAGTAAAAGCAGTGGTCCAAACCCCCCACAGGTTAGTTCTGTTTAAACACGGATGGTTCGACGTCAATCGCCAATGGTAATGGTTCGGCTGGTGGTGTTACTCGGAATTCGGAAGGGGGTTGGATTATCGGTTTTCGCAAAAATATTGGCATAAGCTCGATCCTTCAATCCGACCTCTGGGCCATTTAAGAAGGACTCCTTGTCGCCTGAAACCTTGGCCATATCAGAATCATTGTGCAGTTGGATAGCTCTCGGGCGATCAATCTACTGTCTAAAAATGACCCCATTATTAGCCAGATTCTTTTTATACGTGCGATTGCAGGGCTTTGCGCCTATGCATGGGGGATAAAATTTCAATGGGTTTCAAGAGATGCTAACTGCGTGGCCGACCCGATGGCCAAGCTTGGCCCGAACCTCTATTATGACCTGGTGCTCTACACTACCCCACCTATGGAAGTAGCAAACCTCCTTGCCTATGATACTGCTGCTCTAGGACACGATTCTGTAACCCAACTTTAGACTCTTGTCTTTGTCTCGTCTTAATTCAAAAAAATAAAACAGATATTTATATAAGCCAATTATAATTGCATAATCTAATGAAAAACTAAGACAAGGATAAGCTTAAAGTAAAGTTTATATAGTTTTTCACTTCGGAGTAAATAAAAGAGAAGGAAGCAATAATGGTTGTCTTCTCTATTCCTAGCAGAAAAAAAGCAAAGATAGTCATAGAGATACTCATACAAGTAGAAAATGAAACAATGGTGAAACTTTGGCCAACAATGTTATGTAAACGAGTTTCCGTTTGATGATGACGATAACAACAACAATAAAAAGAAAGGTTACTTGATTTATGAGACAAACAAATTAAAGCAAGAGTATCCCAATTGTGGTTCCATTGAAAGTGGTGTTGCAGGTTGAGGAGCTGCTGGTCTCCATAACAGTGAATGGTGAAGGAGAAAAACAACGGATATAGTTTTGGAGAGGTCCAACTAGATGATATGATCACCATTTATAGGTTACAATTATGGTGAAGAAGAAGAAGACACAACATGTAGATTTTTTTTTATCATTTTATTTATCACGTAACACTTTTGTCAAGGAATTAATTAGAATTAACAACTTAGGTGTCACGGTTCTAGGGTAAAAGAAAAGGAATTTAGATTAAGAAAAGAAGAAAGATTGAGAAAAAGACTTTTTCATTCAATTTCATCATAAAAATCTCAATTACATATTTGATGCAAATATATATTTTAAGGCACTAACAACTACCAATTATTTGTTTCAAGTGTCAATGCTCTTATTATGTAGTGTAACTAACTATTCCTTGTCTGGATTCTCTCCAACGACAACTCCTTGGCTATGGACCACTTCAGCTGACTCACCCGCCTGGGCTTTTCTCTTGGGCTGACCCATATCTCCATTCTCAACAACTTCATCAGGTAACTTCTCAACTCAATTACCCATTTCATAACACATATCTCCTTTTTCCCTAATTCTCTTCATCTCCAATCCCTAATCGTGAATTTTCCAATTTATCAACCCTTAACCCCAATTATTCCTAATTCATCATTTCATTTTACTCTCAACCATGACAATACCCCCTTCAAACGATCCTTGTCCCCAATGATCAAAATCCAAAATTATACGCATAAACCACTATAATCTTCCCATGTTGCATCATCCAAACCCAAATTCATCCATTGAACCAAGAGTTGTGTCACTGTCTGGTTATTGCGTTTGACAATTTGTTTGTCCAACACACAAGTTGGATACACCTTTAATTGGCCATCAACACCAATCTTAGGAGGATCGAGGGAAGTAATCGTTTCTTCACCTATCTTCTTTTCAAGAGACTTGCGTGAAATACAAGATGAATCTTCGAGTGGTTAGACAATTTAAATTTATAAGTAACTGATCCCACCCTTTGAATTACTGTGTAGGGACCAAAATACCGAGTAGCAAGTTTCAAGTTCTTGAGGAGGGCAAAGGATGTTTGCTGGTATGGATGGAGTTTAAGGTAAACACGATCCCCAACTTGAAATTCTTTATCTGTACGTTTCTTGTCTCCATAGGCTTTCATTCACATTTGTGCCTTCTGTAATTGATCTTGTAATAGTTTGTTGTCCGCTATTTGTGAGTACTATATATGGGTGCGAAAATATGTGCAAGTATCACAATCGAACAAGTAATACAGTGATGAGTGAGTATCGTCTCCACAGGGATTAGAGAAAA